TCATTAACGTTTTTAAAATATTAAAAATTGGAGTTTCAAATTCTATGGTCAAACACTCGTTTAGAGTAAATTATACTTATTTACTACTCTCTCCGTTCCTTTTTAGTTATCACAATTTCCTTTTTTAGAGTCAAATGATATGAGTATTGACTAACATTTTAAAATGTATATTCTTTTTACATATTGATATGAAAAAAATTACAATTTATATATAATATTTTTCATATAGTTTTGAATATCTAAATTTTTATTTTAAAATATCGAATTATGTAATTTAATTTTAAAATTAGTCAAATAAACTTTCAAAAAGCAACGTAACGTGTATATGATGTATCCGCTAATAGCGTATGATATATATGATTGCATTATTAGTATACTATTGATATTCCCCAATAGTACAATTAATTTAATTTCAGATTTCCAACGTATTTTTACATTTAAAATTGTTGAGTTCTCCAATGTAAAACTAACAATCAAAATGTACAAAAGTATATCCAAGTAAGTGCCTATATAATAACGATTAGATTCCCCCTTATTAAAAATAAAAATAAAATTGGTTAGCAAAAACTGTTGAATTCTACCATCATCATCATGGGTTCATGTGAAAGCATTCCGGTTGTTCGGGCATATGAAGATTACGATGATTATGATTATGATTATGTTGATAATGATGATTATGAATATGAATATGATTATGACGATGAAGTGCGTTGGGGGGATATATCATATATGAATATGTCGTTCCGTTGAAAGTAAGATGGAAAAAATCATATTTTCATATATCGACTTTTGTTTTTGAATTGGTGTTAAACTATGTAATGGTTATTCCTACTAATTAGCTTTTTATTTAGCAATCTTGTTCTTGAATCTGTTTAGTGTCGTCAAATTATGACATTTCAAGATTTGAAGTTGAAATTTTGTTTGAAAAAACAATTTGAATGGAAAAGCTTGGCAAGTATTGAATTTATTTCTTTTTCTTATATTGATGCATGTTGTTTAATTACTAGCATGTGTGTTACTTAAATTTTCACCTTTATTTTTTTATTTTTTTTATAATTATGTTGTTTCTAAATATTTTGTGGATATTACTAAGGTTACACTTATTTTGGAACGGATGGAGTAGCTGTATTTTAATCTCCAAACAGACCATTTTCAGGAATTTTTGAACAAAGTAAGCCATTATTAAAATTAATTTACCAAAATAATACGTTTTTTGGAAATTTTACAAAACTAGTATAAACGTAGTTCACAATAACGTTTTAGGTTATATTTTATTAAAAAAATTCAATAACAAAAAAGATAAAAATCTAACAGATTAAACAGACATAAAACGTTATTGTCAGTAACGTTTTATAGTTCGTTACTCAGAGGCACGTTTTACAGCTGAAATGTGACTCACAGTAACATTTTTCTGGAATGACTGAAAATTAAAAAAAAATCTAGTACATGCCTCATTCAACTTTATTAAAATTTCCACTATTAAAATGAATATATATATATATATATATATATATTTATTTATTTATTTTTATTTTTTATATTTTTTTTTAATTTTTTTTACACATATATAAATTTCTCTTTTCTTCTCTTTTCATACATAGATAATACTTTTGCAAGGAAAATAAGTTGTGAGGAGGCTTTACTGCAATATCAATTAATTCCTTTGTCTCTTCTATTATGATGTAGCCATTATTTATTTTTTTTAATAATTGATTTACTTACTTATTACATCAATTTTAATTAAATAACTTCTTTATTGATAGTCTAATATTTAATAATGATAAGAAAACGATTGATCTAATATTTGGAAGGGATGCTATCTTAGGCTTCAATTAAGAAGATCTCTCATATGATTTATTTACAAATTTTGAAATTGAAATGATATAAGACAAGCTCCAATTTGTGTAAAGTCATCCTCACTTTTTTTTTTCTTTTTGTTTTAAAAAAGTATTGTTTATGTGAAAAGAGAAAAAAAAGAAGAGAAAATCATATATATTTCAAATGAAGGTATGTACAAAATATGTCTATCCATTTTAATAGTGGAAATTTGAATAATGAATGAGAGTTGTAGAAGATTGGATGTCAATTTTCACCATTGAGAAACGTTACTGTGAGTCACGTTTTAGCTGTAAAACGTGCTTCAGAGTAACGAATTATAAAACGTTATCGACAATAATGTTTTATGTCTGTTTTCTCTGTCACCATTGAGAAACGTTATTGTGAGTCATGTTTTAGCTGTAAAACGTGCTTCAGAGTAACGAATTATAAAACGTTACCGACAATAACGTTTTATTTCTATTTATTCTGTCAGATTTTTGTCTTTTTGTTATTCAATTTTTTTGAATAAAATATAACCTAAAACGTTACTGTGAACTACGTTTATACTAGTTTTGTAAAATTTCAAAAAAACATATTATTTTGGTAAATTGATTGTTATAATAGCTTACTTTGGTCAAAAAATCCCATTTTCAGTGAGTTTTTAAAATCAAAATAGGTGGATTTTTAGTTCTTTTACTCATAAAAGGTTGTCAATGGTGTTACAAGATCAGAAGAAGAAGTTTATAAAGTTGTTGAATTCAAGAGACATGTCATAGTTTTATTCGCTTGGTCAAATATAAGTACAATCATGCTTTATACATCTTAAATCTTGTGGAGAATGATTTTAACTCCATGCTGTGGAACGAAGCTGAACAGGAGATCAGTGAACATAAGTTGGTGAAGTTGTGAACATGTAACGTTGTAGAATCATTGAAAGACTAATTTTTGCTTCGATCATTGCAAAGTTCAAACCTAAACAAGTTTGAGGTCCATAGCCAAACGGCAAAAATGCTACTGGATTGTTGTTTGTAGCTTTAACAACCCCTTCAGCAAATCTATCCGGTTTGAAAACATGAACATGTTCTCCCCATATTTTATGATCATGTTGAACAGCTAATGGTGATATGTATATCAGCATTTTAGGTGGTAAAGTTAGCTCAACTTTCCTTTTGATGAATGGTACTGGAGGGTACAATCTTAGAGATTCATCAAGAATCATGTTCATCTACATTGATCAAAGAATATTGAAAACTGTTACGTAATTGAATAGAAGTATCGAAACTGATAATAAACGATTGATAGACCCTTAATGCTTACAATTTTCAGACTTGATAGGCCATCTGCATTAGGAACTTTCTGGCCAAATGATTCAGCAACTTCTTTTCTTGCTTTTTCTTGCCACTCCTTGTTTGTAGCTAGCAAGAAGATTGTCCATCCGAGCAAAGAAGACGTTGTCTCCTGACCAGCAAAATAAAAGTTCTTGCACTCATCAATTATATCGTCTATTGATATTCTGTTATTCTTGATAAGCATCTAGCTAGGAGTTTTCCAAGGAAATCACTTCTAAAGTTATGCTCTTCACCAATCTTTTCCTCTTCTCTTTTCTTTATTATCCGAGTAATGCTGTCACGTATCGAGTTTCTCTGACTCTATTTTATCATCACACCTTTTCCATATTTTACTACACAAAATGTAAACATTTAGAGCCCGTTTGGCTTAACTGAGCAAATGTATGAACGTCTCGTGGAGGAAGGGACTTACCTGATGCCCGGAAATCTAGTTTTGTGAGCATTTTTGGAAACTAGAAATGCTAACTTCATCAGCATTTGAAATATATATGTTCTTTCCTTCTAAGTAATTACTTCCAAAAGTAGTCTTGGAAATGATTTCTAATGTTAATAGCCTAAACTCTTCAAACACTTCATAAATCTTCCAACGTTCGAGCTTTGTCTCACAACTCATAATCATCACCGGAATCATACTTTGCAGTCACAAACGTTATTGAAAAAAAAATTAGCACTAAAGGAAGCAGATCAAGGAACTCCTTACCAAAATATTGTACAAGAATTTTACTTTAGGCTTTCTCCATGAAAAACACGGTTGGCTAGTTTCCTCATTTTGGCCCATTTTCGCCTTTAGATGTCGGAAGCCCGTCTCCTAAAAGCTTCTTGGGAAAGCCTTCAAGATCCATTTTGGCATAATTGTTGTTTCTATTGCTCAGTATTTCTTTGAGAAGTTCTGGTTCAGTCACTACTAGCTAGGTCAGGTTGCACTCCATACCAGTAGAGAAAATTTACCCCTATAGTGAAGTGACATGAGAAACTGAGACAATACTAATTACTAAGTAAAACAAGAAAATGTGTTATAATCTTTTGAATTTACCATACAGTTTCTTCCAAGAAAATATATGAGGTAGAATTCTTGGAAATATGTCATGTGATAAGTGATCCATGGCGTCGTTTATGGAGTCTTTTTCCATTTCCACAATCTCTTTGAAGTTTCCATGTAGGAACTTGTAAGGAGGACCTTGTATACCTTGAGATTTCATCATAAATTGTACATGAAATGGAGTCCAACATAGCTTCTTAACGATCCCAATTCAAGGATCACAAACAAAGAAATTAAAACTCGCGAGAATGATCATCATCATCATCATGTTCACGGTTTATTTTTTAATCCAGATGTTGAATGAATTTGAGAGGTTATAGTTTTTCTAATGTACTCGTAACTCGAATATTGGCTTCATTAATAGCATTTCAAAACACCGGCCATTCTTGATTTTGCTCTTGACAAAGACCTCGATGAATGTCAGACGGTGTGGACCATGAAAGTTTAGGTGTCCGCAACGACTACAAGGGATTATATCATGCCAAAATGCAGTACAATGATTCCAAATTATTAAAAAGAGATTGCAAGTGAGAAGTCTCAATCTGTGTATTTTTTTTTCTCTTGGAATATTATCTAATTTTCATATCTTAAGAATAACTAATGGGCTAATGGCCATGTGAGGAAGACATCATTTTAATATCATTTTGATTTGATATCCTTTGTCTTTATTTTATCTGTCATTTGTTACAAGGATTATAATAAAAGCCAAGCCATGATAATATGGAATCAGTGATGTTACAATTGTATAATATTGTGTGCTTATGCAAGTGTGGTCATAACTATTATAATAGAAATCAATAATGGTACAATTGTATATTATTTGGATAATGCACATAATTAGGTGACAGAGTGAACTTATAACGCTGCAAAATCATCGACAAGGCAATCTTTGCTTCGTTCGTTGTGAAATTTTGACCAACACAAGTATGAGGTCCGAACCCGAAGGGAAAAAATGCTGCTGCATTGTTGTTAGTTGCTTTAGCTACCGCTTCTGCAAACCTCTCCGGTTTGAAGATGTGAACGTCTTCACCCCATATTTGAGGATCATGGTGCAGTGCCAGAATTGACATGAACATTGTCATGTTAGCTGGAAGAGTCATGCTCCCTAGTCTAACTTCTCTTTTAACCTTCCTTGTAACTGTAATAGCTGGAGGATACAATCTCATACATTCATTAAGTATCATGTTCATCTGCAACAAACGACAAAAGAATCTGTTGAAGATATAATTAACTAAAGTGTGATCTCTCTAACAATTCAACTTTTAGACTATGTTGGTCGGACTCTCCAAATATATTGTCGCACTTGTGGTGTTGGATTCTCCAAAAATGCACTACTTTTGGAGTATCCAACACACACCCATCAACATTTTTGAAGAGTCCGAGCAACATAATTTAAATGAAACTGTCACACAATTCAATACAATATCAAAACAGGCAGAATTCTTATGTTTTGAGTCTAACCACCATCCATTGTTAAGAAGAACTTCCACGTGCATGGCCCATGAAAAAGGAACAGGCCGGCTTAAGTAAATAAAAATGTACTCTCTCTAACAATGTAAGCAAAATTCAATTCTGAGAGTGTTGCTTACTGTTCTTAGTCTTGCAATTGCATCAGAAGTTGGTAATTCAAGGCCACAGAATGTAACCACTTCCTTTCTGGCTTTTTCTTGCCATTCGGGGTGAAGTGCTAAGAGAAAAACAGACCAGCCAAGTAAGCTTGTTGTTGTAAGATTCCCAGCACGATACAATGCTTTGATCTTGTTGATCATTTGATCTAATGTGATACTCTTGTTCCTGAGGGGCGGAGCTACATCTAGCTAAGGGTGGTCAGATCTCGTCGATCATTCGTCGAATTTTTTTTGTTGTGAATTCAATTGAGACATCTGCTACTATGAATGATAAGGAGGATGCGACTAGTGATATTCGCATTGACAAGCTGTGTCGGAGTACAAGAAGTGTAATTCCACCTAAAAGGTTGGACAATTACTTTTGGGCAGGAAGAAAGTCACGTGTGCAAGGCGACGGTTAGTTATGAAAGTTGTATAAAAGTGTGAGAACGTGGGTAGGAAAAGGGTAGGCAGTTAATTATGATTTTGTAAGTTCTCACCCTCTTCTTCTGTCTTCTCAACCCAATTGTAGGCTTCTAATTTCAGATTTCAAGTGTATTTCCTTGTATCAGTGTTACTTACAGTTCCTTTGTTTGTCTTGTTGTATTGTAATTATATTCAGTAAAACATATATATATATATATATATATATATATCTGTGTGTGTGTTTTGTATTGTAAAAGTTGTGAGTGTTGCATTGGTGCTTTCATCCAGAGGTCTCTAATGGAAGAGGACCGAAAACTCAAGTCCCTCGAAGACTCCATACGGGTGGTGAAAGAATCATTCTCGAGTGACATATCTGAAATTCGATCTATGCTGAAAGAGGTGGTGGGTCATGTGATGGCACTAGGTTCTCAGAATAGTACCCCTGTAGTGGCAATATCTCGACCACGTCAAACTACTGAAGTTTATGGAGGACAAACACCAACACCTCCTACTTTGCGTCACAAACCTGCTTCGGTTGAATTAGTACGATTCCATGGAGTGAATCCTGAATCATGGGTCTTCCAAGCAGAGTGTTACTTTGAATTTTATGGAATCATGGAGGATCATAAGTTAACACTAGCATTGTTCTACTTGGATGGTGATGCATTGGAATGGTACCGATGGTTGTGTCGCAATAAACAGTTAGTTAATTGGGAGCATTTTGCTGAGAAACTGCTGGTCGATTTCAGAAACGAGATCTAGAGGCGTCAGAGGGTCGACTTGCTAAACTTCGGCAGACCACTACGGTGGCTGAATACCAGAGTCGTTTCGGAGCGGTTTCTAATGAGATGATGCATTTTCCATCTCAGGTATTAGGACATTTTTTTACTTCTGGATTGAGACCTGATATTAAAGTGGCTATTTTAATCCGTGAGCCCACAAAATTAAATGAAGCTATATGTTTATCCCATTTATACGAGCAAAAGACCCAACTTGAACCTGGCTCCTTTAAGCCTGCATTCAGTAAGGCTCCACCATTTCTGACAACTCTCACTCATCCTTGTGCAGTCTCAAGGCCCTCCATTTCGAATCAGATAGCTTCAGTTGCCCAAACTACATCAAATCGTCTGCCCATGAGACACCTTTCCCCTGCAAAGTTACAAAGTCGTCGGGAACGTGGTCTTTTTTATTCTTGTGATGAAAAATACTCTCCTGGTCACAAGTATAAGTCACTTCCCCAACTTCTACTGTTATCTGAAAAGTGAGGCTGAAGTGACATTACCGGATCAATTTGTGTCGAATGATGTCTTAGCGGAGGAATTACAATGTTTGGAGGTTCAAGAACAGTCAGCTATTTCATATCATGCTTTATTTGGAGGAAATTTTTCCACTACTCTTAGATTTACTGGTCATGTTAATGGGTCACCAGTACAAGTGCTTGTGAATAATGCTAGTACACGTAATTTTATTCAGGCGAGGATGGCAAACTTTCTTCAGTTGGAGACTGAACCATCGCCAAGCTTTTCGGTGGTGGTAGGAAGTGGACAGCGACTACGATGTGAGGGTGTGGCTAGAAAAATTCCAATAACCATACTGGGAAACAAAATAGTGGAAGATTTATACATTTTATCCCTTCATGGTGCTGATATAGTACTAAGGGTTTCTTGGCTCGCAATTTTGGGTCATGTCCTTACTGATTATACAAATAGAATATTTGAATTCACTCTGAATGGTTCTAGGATAATGTGGAAAGGGGATGCACCTACTGATGTGCAACCAGTGCAATTACATAGTCTGAGAAGAATGGTTGCTACAGATGCAATTTCTTCCTATTTTCATCTATAATTGGTATCTGATTCGGAACCTTTATGTACTCCCCCCTCTGAATTAACAATAGTGTTTAAACCATATGAAGATGTCTTTCAGAAAACTCTAGGTTTGCCTCCTTCACGAAGTCAGAACCATGCAATCCATCTAATTCCAGGTGCAGGACCGGTTAAAGTGAAACCATATCGATATCCTTATTTTCAAAACAGGCTATGGAGCAGTAAGTGTTTGAAATGCTAAATGAAGGGACAAAAGAACAAGTACAAGCCCATTTCCTCTCCAATATTGTTGGTTCGAAAAAAAGATGGCACGTGGCGGTTTTGTGTTGAGTATCGTGCATTAAATGCAATCACAATTCATGATAGATTTCCAATTCCTACCATTGATGAACTTTTTAATGAATTGAATGGTGCCTGCTATTTTTCCAAATTGGATTTATTGTCCGGATATCATCAAATTAGGGTCCGTCCAGAGGATGTACCTAAGACGACATTTCACACTCATGATGGACATTATGAATTTTCCGTCATGCCATTTGGCCTTACAAACGCGCCCTCTACATTTCAAGCAACTACGAATGAAATATTTAGACCTTACTTTCGTCGATATGTCCCGGTATTCTTTGATGACATTTTGATTTATAGTCGTACTTGGACTGATCACTTAGAATATTTGGTCTCGATTATGCAATTATTGCGTCAATATCAGTTGGTGGCCAAGCGGTCCAAATGCTTATTTGGACAGGAATCAGTTGACTACCTGGGACATATTATCTCATCTCAAGGATTGTGTATCGACCCAGGAAAAGTGTAATTCATCCAACAATGGGCATCACCTCGTATAGTGAAAGAAGTGAGTGAAGGAACTATAAAACCTAGCTTGTTGCGAAACTCAGCAAAGACCTGTTTTGTGAATGCTTTGGTATGAATATCAACTAGCTAATCCTTAGACCTCACAAGCTGAGTAATAAGTTGTCCTCTGGCCACCTTCTCACGAACAAAATGATAGCCCATTTCATCATGTTTGGTTCTAGCATGCATAACTGGATTGACAATCATGTACAAGGCATTCAAGTTAGCACAATACAATGTAAAAATAGATCGAAGGAACACCCTAAGGTCATGAAGTAGATACATGATCCATGTCATCTCTACTGCAGTGGAGGCTAGTGCTCTATACTCAGCTTCAACACTCGATCGGGCTATTGTGCTCTGTTTCTTGGAAGTCCAAGAAATACAATTTGCACCTAGGTAGATGCTATAACCTGTAGTTGATCTCCTAGTGGTGGTACAACCCCTCCCCCCCAATCAGTATTTGAGTATCCATACAACCTACATGGTGATTGTGAAATAATTGAGTCCAAAATGTAGAGTACCTTTGATGTACCTGAGAATTCTTTTCACCCCTTGAAGATGTTCACTGTTTGGACTTTGCATTAACTGGCTTGCTAAATTCTCTGCATGAGTGATATCAGGTCTTGTATGAGTCAAGTACTGAAGACTCCCTACTATCATTGCATTTATAAGACTTCCCACGACTTCATGTAAACCATGCTTTTAAGCCAAATGAGTGGCTACAACCTTTGCCAAGGTCATCTCTGTCTTAACCAGCAACTCAACAACGTACTTACTCTGACTTAAGTGAATTCCCTCTTCAAAATACTTAACCTCTACTCCTAGAAAGATGTGTAAAGAGCCAAGATCTTTCATAGCAAAGTCTTTCCCAAGTTGTAGAACCAACTGTGAGACATGTGATGGATTAATTCCTGTGAAAATAATATCATTCACATATAACAGGAGAAACATTGTTCATTTGTGAGTTTGCAAAGTAAATAAGGAAGGGTCAACCTTACTACAAATGAAACCAAGGTGTAAGAAATGCATGTTAAACCTATCAAACTAGGCTCTTGGTGTTTGTTTAAGACCATACAATGCATTTTTAAGTAGAAACACATGCTGAGGATACATGGGATCAGTAAATCCAGGAGGTTGACTTATGTACACCTCCTCTTGTAGGAAACCATGGAGAAAGACATTTTTGACATCCAGTTGTCTAACTCCCCACTTTGAGCTGATAATAATGGACAGAACCACCCTAATGGTTGTGGCTTTAACCACAGGGCTAAATGTTTCTTGAAAATCTATCCCTTTAAGGTGTGAGAATCCCCTAGCCAAGGGTCTGGTCTTGTATCTATCTACTGTTCCATTATCTTTTAATTTTATCTTGAACACCCATTTTGAACCAAACAAGTTTATATCAGGAGATTTGGGCACCAATATACATGTCTTATTAGTATGTAAAGCATTGATTTCCTCCTGCATTGCTTCAAGCCAATGAGGTTACCTTAGTGCTTCCTTATTAGTATTTGGTTCCCTCAAAATTTCCTTGCTGGTGCGAGCAACAAATGATATGTGATGTTCCTTCACCTTGTGCCTGGTGATCACATGATGCCCTTGTGGTTCAGGAAGTACCTCAACTGGTACATCAACTAAAATAGTTGATTGGAGTGTAGTATCGTCAGGTAGGTGATCAATTGGTACATAAACTAAAGTAGTTGATTGGAGTGTAGTATCGTCAGGCTGATGATGCTCATTGACTGGACCTGTAAGGGTAACCTGTTTCTCACTGCCACTAGTGGATCCGAAATCTACAGCTGGAGTCTAAATATTGTTGTATGGATCATCACTTTCAACCTGTTCCTCATGATCATCATTTGATACTACACCTGAGGGGTCAATAGCACTGTTATCACCAAGGAGTATAAGGGTTGTTATAGTAGCATTTTCACCAAGAATTTGCGTACTAGCAGCCTGTACTTCCCCTGAATTAGGATTATCATGTGTCTGCAGTTTAGAGAAAGATTCAACAAAAGTAGCAAGATGAGGTGAGACAACAATATTAGTCTGAGA